AGCAAATTCTGTTGACTCTCCTTTCAAAATGATTATAGGATGTGACCACTTCTTACTGTCTCCAGCCACCACTGTGATCATCTGTCCCTGGATTTTTGCGGCAGGCTCCCAGCTGGTCTCTTTACCTCTGTTCTGGTCCTGTTCAGGCTGTTCCCACTCAGCCACCAGAGTAATTCTGTTAAAATACAGGGCAGCCCTGTCAGTCCTGCTCAGAACTCTTCAGTGGCTCCCATCTCGCTCAGTGTAAAGGCCAGGGTCTTTACAGTGACCCCCCAGGGTCCTACATTCTTTGCCCACCCTTTGCCCTCCCCCCAGTTCTCTGACCCACCCTCCTCCTTTCTTCCTGCTTATCCTGGGCCAGCCACACTGCCCTCCTTTCTAGTCCAGGAGCATGCCTGACCCCTCCTGCCCCTCCCTCAGGTCCTTTGTAGATGCAGCTTCCTCTGTTTGAAATGCTTTTCCTGCTTCTAACAGTGTGGTTCACTTTCTCACTTCCTTCACCTATTTGCCCAAATGTCAGCTCTCAGTGAGGCCTTGCTTTCTACCTTGCTTGAAATCACACACCTGCTCTGTGCCCCACCTGATACTCCCCTGCTGCTCTTCTCTGTGGTTAGTTTTCTTCATAGCACATGTTACCTTCTAACGTGCCATATAAAGTACTTAATTCGTTAGTTATCTTCCCCCTTAAGACTGTGAGCTCCCTCCCTGCAGTCAGGGATTTCTGTGTCTGATCTTAGCTGAACCCTTAGCACCCAGAGCAGTGCGTGGCATGTAATATGACTTAGTAAATATTCATCCAATGAACAAATGGGGAGGCATTGAAATATATTGAGCAGAGTAGTGACATAATCTGGTTTAGGATATTTTTAAACATTGACTTTTATTGACATATAATTGACACACAGTGAAATACACAGATTTTTAGTGTTGCAGCTTGATGAATTTTGACAAACGTATCCAGTTGCATAGCCCACACCCCCATCATCATCCAGAACACTTCCATGACCCCCGAAAGCTTCCTAGTGCTTCTTGCCTGTCAATCCCACACTCCCTGCCCCCATCCAGAGGCAGGGAAAGAACCACTGTTCTGATTTCTCTCACATAGATTAGATTTCCCTGGTCATACAAATGGAACCATTCAGTATGAACTATCTATGTATGTATGTGTATTTATTTCAGTCTGAGCTCTCGTCTGGCTTCTTTTGCTCAGCGTGATGTTTTTGAGATTCATTGCGTTGTTGTGTGTATCAGTAGTCCCTTTTTTTGCTGAGTAGCATTCCATTGTAACATACCACAACTTCTTTATCCATTCTCCTGTTCAGGGACAGTTGGATTGCTTCCATATTTTGGCTATTATGACTGAACATTCATGTTCAAGTCTTTTTGTGGATATTTGTTTTCATTTTTCTTGGGTAAATGCCCAGGAGTGGAATTGCTGGGTCACAGGACAGATGATGTTTAATTTTGTGAGAAACTGCCAAACTGTTTTCTGAAGTGGTTGTACTTCTTTACACTCCCACCAGCAAGAGTTCCAGTTGCTCTGCATCTTGCCAACTTTTTGATTTATGTCTTAACAGATTCATTCTGGCTGCCATGTGGAGAACTGGCCCAGTATTTCACTATGTAAGCTCATTCAGAAAATGGGGTTGGGAGAGGAGGAATGCCTAAAAGGAAATTCCCAGATGGGCCACGTCTCTGAATCAGGTAGAGCACATGAGCCTTGGGCCATGTATCAAATGCTAGGAAACGGCTTTCTCCCCAAGGGCTCTACTGTTCTCTTGTGTCAGATAACCAGATCTTTTTCCTCCCCAGAGTGGGTTGCTCGTGGTTTTGGGTTGGGGACAGAGACCTCTGCTCAACCTGGCTTACATCATCCTTTTTTTTTTTTAAGACAGAGTTTAGCTCTTGTTGACCAGGTTGGAGTGCAATGGTGTGATCTCTGCTCACCACAACCTTTGCCTCCTGGGTTCAAGCGATTCTACTGCCTCAGCCTCCCGTGTAGCTGGGATTACAGGCATGTGCCACCATGCCCAGCTAATTTTTTTGGATTTTGAGTAGAGATGGGGTTTCTCCATGTTGGTCAGGCTGGTCTTGACCTCCCGACCTCAGGTGATCTGAGGTGATCTGCCCGCCGTGGCCTCCCAAAGTGCTGGAATTACAAGCGTGAGCCACTATGCCCGGCCTTTTTTTTTCTTGAGATGGAGTTTTGCTCTTGTTGCCCAGGCTGGAGTGCAATGGCGTGATCTCAGCTCACTGCAAACTCTGCCTCCAGGGTTCAAGCGATTCTTCTGCCTCAGCCTCCCGGGTAACTGCGATTACAGGCATGCGTCACCACACCCGGCTAATTTTTTGTATTTTTAGTGGAGATAGGGTTTCTCCATGTTGGTCAGGCTGGTCTTGAATTCCCGATCTCAGGTGGTCCACCTGCCTCGGCCTTCCAAAGTGCTGGGATTACAGGCGTGAGCTGCCATGCCTGACCGCTTACCTTGGTTTTTGCCAAGTGATCTGAGGAGGTGTTCTTGGAGAATCCAGCCAAAGGTCAAGGCTGCAGTGCTGTTGCATTTTCTTTCATAGTCAGACCCGTGGAGTCTCTTGGGGAGCTGAGGAAACAAGCACAACAAGAGTGGGCAGCTATAGAGGAACTGGCTAGGTCTGTGCTAGGAGTATTCCTGCCCAGCGGCTTCTTTGGGCGGGTGTAGTCCCCTAAATGTGTGAGATATTGCAAGAGACATCAATTTACTAATTCTGAACTGGAGCTCGTTCTGTGCTTGAGGGAACTTCCTCCTGGAGGGCATGTCCTCATACGACCAAATTATTTGTGAAAACATGGCTTGGTATAAAAATCATCCAAATAGAAGGAAAAAAAAATTGTCTTGAGGGTGCAGAATTAACTTGCCAAGTGTTGGAGAGTGTCAGTGGCCATGCCTTAAAGCCCTTCCCTGGAGACACTTTGTTCTAAAGAACTAAGGGTGTGTATTTAGCACCAAGGAACCCCAGCCGCTGATGTGAAGGTGAACTTGGGCTGGATCTTGTTCCTTAGCTCCCATGGCTTTTGAGCCTCGAAGACCATTGTTATCTGTCATTTTATTTTATTTTGACTCCTGTGGGTAGTGGGAACATCTGTCATTTTAGACTGGTTAAAATGCCTAACCAGAGGTTTATTTTCTGATCCTCAGTCCACATCTCGTAACTTGCTTGGAACTGGAGTTTTATAAGCTTCTGTAGCAATCGGTGTGTGGGTCACCTACCTCAGCTTCACCCATTCCATGCTGCTTTACCTGTTTCAGTCTGAGTGGGAGGTTTTTTCCTCACCTTGGTCCTGAATTCCAGGTGCTTGTTACTGTTGCTCTGTGTTCAGTTTAGCCCTTGTGCCAAGTATTGGGGAGTGAGCTGTGACCAAGCCAGACACATGTCCTGCCCTCATGGAACTTACAGTTTAGTGAGAAAGGTGGAGATTAATTAGAAGCATGATGAAGTTTTTGAATATGGCAGGCACATTACCATGGGAGCATATTGCAAGGGGATCAAATGTGGCTTAGGGGTGAGGGGAGGTGGTCCTGGGGAATGGTCTTTAAAGTCTTAAAGGGCGAGTGGAGTTAGCCAGACCAAGGAGGGGTGTCTGAAGGCTCTGATGGATTGGAAGAAGTCTGTGTGAAGAGGGGAGGAGAGCTCAAGGTGACGCAGGAGAGGTAGGGCGGGGCCACAGGTGAGCCAGGTTAAAGATCTGGAACTTTTATCCCCAGGATGAGTGGTTGATAAGGGTTTAAGTGTATGTTGGGTGAGGGAGTGGTCAGATTCCTTTTTTATCTATTTGTTTATTTACTTATTTTTTTTGAGACAGAGTCTCGCTCTGTCTGCCAGGCTGGAGTGCAGTAACATGATCTTGGTTTACTGCAACTTCTGCCTCCCAGGCTCAAGCATTTCCCCTGCCTCAGCCTCCCGAGTAGCTGGGATTACAGGTGTGTGCCACCATGCTTGGCTAATTTTTGTATTTTTAGTAGAGATGGGGTTTTACCATGTTGGCCAGGCTGATCTCGAAGTCCTGACCTCAGGTGATCCGCCCGCGTTAGCCTCACAAAATGCTGGGATTACAGGTGTGAGCCACTGCGCCCGGCCAGATTCCTATTTTTAAAGGTTCACTCCAACTCCTTTTTAGAGATTAGATTAGGGATGGAGAGGGGGAGGGGTTATGAGATTGGAAGCTGGTAGACCAATTTGGAGGATGTTGCAGTATCCCAGGCATAAGATGACCATGAGGTAGATTTGGGAATGGGGTAAGGGGGATGGAGTGTGGCCCCGGGGATGGAGAGAATGGGTAGTTTTGAAGGAAGTGGGTTAGACAGTCTTTGAAGTAGATGAGCAGGACAGAAGCAGGAGGTAGGGGTGGTTTAGTTTCAACCTCATGGGAAACAGAGGAGGGAAGCAGCATTATGACTCTCCTGTCCTCACTGTTTTACTTGTTGCAGGGGTGCCCATTTAGGGACCCTGAAATTTCACTGAGATTCACTGGGGGTTTTTAAAACCAGAAGATGCCTTGAGATTGTAGGGGAAGGAGGTGGAAAAGTAGAAGGCTGGGGTGGCTGTTCTGTGAGGGATTGATCTCACGGTGTCTTGCAGGGGTTGATGAAGGGTGAAAGACAGCAAAGAACTGTATTCTAAGACCTTTGGATCCTTCCTGGGCTCTCCCATTGAACTAAGAGTGTAGTGGGTGCCCAGTGTGCTATGTTGCAGAGCTCTGTTGTGGGACAGTAGGAAGGGAAACTTGGGTATGAACCTGAGAAGAGGGACTTGAGGCCTCACTGGGCATTCTCTCTGCACCTGTGTCATTGGAGAAGAAATCAGAATTTCCTCTGTGGGGTTAAGGGACGAAATGAGTGCCTACCTGTACAGTCTAAGGATTTACCATTTTCAGCCAGAAGTGGCCTGCCTCTTCACTGGTGAACAGTCCCTAAATTTCAAGCCTTGGTCTCACACCAACTCTCTGGATTTTCTGGCCGCAGGAATTGGATTCAAATACGTGGCTCTGGGAGACCTCATCATCCTCATCACTTTTGGCCCGCTGGCTGTGATGTTCGCCTACGCCATCCAGGTGGGGTCCCTGGCCATCTTCCCACTGGTCTATGCCATCCCCCTTGCCCTTAGCACCGAGGCCATTCTCCATTCCAACAACACCAGGGACATGGAGTCCGACCGGGAGGCTGGCATTGTCACCCTGGCCATCCTCATCGGCCCCACGTTCTCCTATATTCTCTACAACACGCTGCTCTTCCTGCCCTACCTGGTCTTCAGCATCCTGGCCACACACTGCACCATCAGCCTGGCGCTCCCCCTGCTCACCATTCCCATGGCCTTCTCCCTTGAGAGACAGTTCCGAAGCCAGGCCTTCAACAAACTGCCCCAGAGGACTGCCAAGCTCAACCTCCTGCTGGGACTTTTCTACGTCTTTGGCATCATTCTGGCACCAGCAGGCAGTCTTCCCAAACTTTAAGGGGACAAGTAGCTCCCCCCACGACATGTCTCCTTTTCTTAGAATATATTAAAGTCAGAGTGTCTGAGGAAGGAACGTGATTTGGCAGTCAGGGTACTAAGCATGGGTGGGAACTCCTGCCTTTTAAAAATTGTTTTTGTGTTCTTAAAGTTAATATGTTGTTTTTCTCTCTCTCTCTTTTTTTTTTCTTCATTTTATGGGGAATTTAAAAACCATTCTTGTATCAGAAGGTGAATTGGGCGCACGATCCTTGTTTTATTAATAATTTCCACTAGAGGGTGTTCTCAGGTCACTTTGCAGTGAAGTGGACTTAGTTCCTCCTTGTTCTGTACAAAATGTCCCCAGACTTTGTAAAGGAGCTGCCCAGTTTGGCCTCCTCTCCCAAAAAGACGCTAACTGGGCAGAGTGTCGTCCTGCTTTCTTGATATCTTGTAGGATGTGCTATGATTGGTGCCAGGCCTCACTAACACAGGGGCTACCTGTCTCTTACTCTCAGCACCTGTGTCCTGAGTTATGCTGCCTGAGAGATAGAGTCCCTCATTAACAGCCTGTGTGACTGTCAGCTTTTTGCCTAAATTGTGATTCAGATGCTTTTGTTCCTCTCTCCTGTCACTTATTGCCACAGTTGAGGAAAAGTGTCAGATTACCCTGCAGCAAGACATGCCAAGGACTGGGAGGGGAAAAAAAAACACCCTGGAGGCAACTGAGAAAATCACTGCCTTTGGATTGAAATCAGTAGGGTGGCTGTTTTCCCTTTGTTGAATCTACTAGAGTGATAGGAAGGACTCCCAGCCCTTTCAGTAACTCTCAGGAGCCCTGAAACGGTAGAGGCACTGCCATTCTTGTGGGATACTCAAAGCCCACGGGGCTTTTCCCTCCCGATTGCATCTTCTGATGCTCCCCGTGCCCACCCTCCACCTCTCCACCTCTATGGTGTTGCCATTTGTGTGTTTCCCATCCGTGGAGCCAGACTATTTGAGCAACAGCTTAGCAGCGAGTCAGGGACAGCTGCCACTTTCCACAGAGCCACAGGATGGGCAGAGCAGGGACCCAGTGAATGAATAGCCAGTGGACAAACAGTCTTGAGCTCTGTTCAGCCAGAGTGATCAGCCCCGCCAGTGAAGGGGCTGTGTCTTCATTCTTGAAGACAGATGTGCAGTATTGACCCTGCCTTTCCCCGGGGCTTTATGGATAGTTGAGGGCTTCAGTGAGGTCACACTCAGAATGGGGCAATTCCAGCATTTATCCTGACTGCGTTTCATTGCATTGTCTGTGAAGTGTAATTTCTGGGCCAGAATTGCTCAGTTGCATTTGATCCAGGACTAAAATAGATTGGAAACGGTCATCATTGTTTTCTGTTGTGATTTTAGCCATTCTAGTAGGTATTTAAGGTCATGGCCTGCAGAAAATGATGTAAGAACTAGTTCTTAATCTTTCAGATCAAGCTAATTATGATATGGAACCTTGAGTTCAAATTGATTGGTTTACTTGGAAAAAAAAAATGTTTGAAAATTGCAAAAGTTCCTCTAAAGTTAAATCAAAGGTGGTTTGTCTAGCAGAGAGCCAGAATCTTCTAATAGTGGGCAGAGCCCAGAGACAAGGGGAAGAAAGACGACTTTCTCCCCTGTCCTTCCCAGCACCGTTTTTGTTTCACACCAGGCTTGTGGCATTTTGGTGCTCACAGGGGTTCTGCCTTCTGACCTCTCTTTGGAGTAGGCCATTTTCATGCAGGGCTCACCCTGAGGCTGGAGGACCAAGGACTCCCTGTGTCCACCTACCACATATGCCTTGGTGGTCACTCCTGTCGGGGCTGTCAGTCCTGCACTGTGCCCTGGTGCGGATTTTAATGCATATTTTTATACATAAATGTTCCCAAAGGCCAAATTTGGTGCCAGGTTTTATATGCAGGTCACCATAATTTGTATTATGTCCCCTGAGTCAATGAAGGTTTTCTTTAGACTTCTTAATTAAAAAAGAAAGAAAATGTTCACCAGTGGTCTGGCTTCTGGTTTTTGCTTTCCTCATACTTACTGTGTGATTGTGAACTCTGATTTGTAAATCTCAGGGAGACCAAGGCAGTGACATTGGACATTCAGGCTGTGCGGAGGGGCACCTGGTCTTTGGTGATGGGTTTGGGTAGGGTTTGACCAGATTCGATGGGCCTTTAGAAAAGGCAGCAGGGACTGGGCATGGTGGCTCACGCCTGTAATCACAGCAATTTGTGAGGCCAAGGTGAGAGGATTGCTTGAGCCCAGGAGTTTGAGACCAGCCTAAGTAACATAGTAAGACCCCATCTCCACAAAAAAATTTTAAAAAGTTAGCTGGGCATGGTGGTGCATGCGTGTAGTCTCAGCTACTCAGGAGGTTGAAGTGGAAGGATCACTTGAGCCTGGCAGGTCAAGGCTGCAGTGAGCTATGATCATGCCACTGCACACCTGCCTGGGCGATAGAGCGAGACCCTGTCTCAAACAAACAAACAAAAAAAGCATTGAGGGCAACATGTAGCTACAGTGGATTTGCTAAGAGCCAGTCAGTCAGGCCAGATTAACCTCGTTTCATTTTTCTTTTTCTTGATAGGGTCACTGTGCTGATAGATGGAGAACGTGAGGTAGATTGAGTACATGTGGGTTTCAGCTAGGCATTGGACAATATATCCTACGAACAAGGCAGAGATATGTGGGATGGATAACAGTGGAGTTAGATAAATTCCTGGGAGACTGAACAGGCCGTGGGAGTAAGCTAACTAACTGATCAGCACGTCAGTGTCAGCTGGGAAGGAGCCCTTAGCAGTTGGAGCCCTGCCCTCTGCCCTTTGCTCAGCTGGATTCAACACCTGTTATTAATGACTCGGATGAGGCAGCCAAAATGAAAGGTTTCATGAACCTCGGAGGAAGAGCTTACAAAATGACTGACAATTAGCCTCATAAATCAAAAGGCTGCTTTGATGGGTCAAAAGAAAAATGTAGTGTGAATAAATACAAAGCGATACACTGGGGTCCCAAAATGAACAGCATACACATCAGAGAGGGAGAGCCATGGTGTGACCACCATGGAGATATGGGGGCATGAGTTTTCTCGGTGACTCTGGAATCTGACATCACTTGTCTTTGTTTATATATTCATTTTTTTGAGACCAAGTCTCAGTGTCGCCCAGGCTAGAATGGAGTGGCGCAATCTCGGCTCACTGGAATCTCTGCCTCCCGGATTCAAAGCCATTCTCCTGCCTCAGTCTCCCCAGTACCTAGGATTACAGGCACACACCACCACACCTAGCTAATTTTTGTATATACATATTTTATACATATCTCACTCTGTTGCCCGGGCTGGAGTGCAGTGGCACAATCTCGGCTCACTGCAACCTCTGCCTCCTGGGTTCAAGCGATTCTCCTGCCTTAGCCTCCTGAGTAGCTGGGATTACAGGCACCTGCCACTATGTCCAGCTAATTTTTTGTATTTTTAGTAGAGATGGGGTTTCACCAAGTTGGCCAGGCTGGTCTTGAACTCCTGACCTCATGATTCACCGGCCTCAGCTTCCCAAAGTGCTGAGATTACAGGCGTGAGCCACTGCACCCAGCATAATTTTTGTATTTTTAGTAGAGACATGGTTTTACCATGTTGGCCAGGCTGGTCTCGAAATCCTGACCTCAGGCGATCTACCCATCTGGGCCTCCCAATATGCTGATTACAGGCATGAGCCCCCGCGCCCGGCTGCCTTTATTGCTTTGAGTCAGATTTATTCTGCTCCCCAGTCAGGTGGCTGGAAATTCAATGCCAGCTACCTCTTGAGCACCCTCCCATCTGTCTGGGATCACCCAGGACTCCTGGCCTCTGTAGGGCCAGAGCCAGGGATTTTTGCTTACCATCAACCTCTCTGCTACTGGATGCTGGGGTTTGGCCCCGGAATCTGCCCTTATCTTGGACACTGCTCCTCTAGAAAGGTTCAGAATGCCCTTTCCTGGTGACAAGTACCAGTGAGGCACAGATTCCTGCTACTCCAGTCACATTCTGCCCAGTCTTGGAGCACTACCACTCTACCTATGATAATGCCCCATCCAGCTCCCCTACTCAAAGCGTTTCCCTTCTTCTCTGCCCTTTGCAGGACCTTTGCACTGAATCCCACTCAGAGGACCTTTGAAAGCTCAGGGCTGGCTTCTTCTGGAGTTGGGTGGGAAAAGATATGAATATGTCTTATGTTTTCTTACTAATGCTTCCCTTACTCCTATATTACAACCACCAGGCCAGGCACAGTGGCTCATGCCTGTAGTCCCGGCACTTTGGGAGGTCAAGGTGGGTGGATCACTTAAGGTCAGGAGTTCAAGACCAGCCTGGCCAATATGGCGAAACCCTCTCTTTACAAATAAATACAAAAATTAGCGCCTGTAATCCCAGCTACTCGGGAGGCTGAGGTGAGAATCTCTTGAACCCAGGAAGCAGAGGTTGCAGTGAGCTGAGATCGCACCACTGCACTCCAGCCTGGGCAACAGAGCGAGACTCCATCTCCTAAATAAACAAATAAATAAAAAATAAAACCAACACCTGAGCCTTTGACCTGGGCCAAAGCTTAGTCTGAGTGAGTAATGAGCTCCAAGTTCCATGCAGGTTAATGTGATCTGAGGTAGAATTAACAGGAGAATTGGCATCCAGAATAAGGAAGGTAGAAGTTCTGCCCATCCCTGTGTGGGTCATTCCTCTCATGCTGGGCTGGGGCCGGTCCTGGGTGCTTTGCCTTCTTCCTTTTCTCTAGATATTAATAGAATCAATGTGGTGAGAGATCAAGAACATGCTGTAGATATAATATACTTGGATTTCAGCAAGGCGTTTGACAACATACTATGAAATATGGAATGGGACCGAGCACGGTGGCTCATGCCTGTTATCCCAGCACTTTGGGAGGTAAAGGCGGGTGGATCACTTGATGTCAGGAGTTCCAGATCAGCCTGGCCAATATGGCGAAACCCTGTCTACAAATAGACAAAAAATAGCTGGGCGTGGTGGTGCATACCTGTAATCCCAACTATTCAGGAGGCTGAGGCAGGAGAACCACCTGAACCTGGGAGGCAGAGGTTACAGTCAACTAAGATCGCACCACTGCACTCCAGCCTGGGTGACAGAGTGAGACTTCATCTCAAAAAGAAAAAAAAAAGGAATGGAATGGATAAAAAGACAATTACAGGAGCTTGCTTTTCTATGTGCATGTGTGTGCATGTGTGTA